CTATGATGTGAGTGCATTTTTTCCTGTAGTTTGTGAAGATTGAGTTGATAAAACTCTTAATGAATATTTGTAGCCCGTATGGGTGGAGTGTTAAGCTTACAGGAGCACTCTAGACAGATTTCACCTATGTGATGTGTGGAAGTAGGTCGCTTCCTATGAGAATTGGCTTATTCTCAAAAGCACTCATGAAACCGGGATAGCACATGGCCATAACGTGCTGGCTTTAAAGCTCATGTCAACACCTTGATTATTATGTGTAAGCAGTGATATTTTATTTCCCTTAAGCAGTCATAGTTCAAGTCTGAGACCACTACGACTCTGGAGTAAAAGTTACTGTTTCACTAAGTGGAGGTTCAATGCAGAGCACACCTTCATTATGCATAGTAGTCTTCCTTTAGCTGATAGACTCTCTTGACTAATATTTAAATGAGTGGGGGATTGTTGGTGTGACCATTTTAATATTATACAAATTGTTACATATTCACATTGCCACTACCACACTAAGTCTTTGCTAAAATGTATGACATTTATGCCTAATTACTCATGGTCAATTAATGACCAGAGGCATAAGGCAAATTGCTTTCTGAACGTTGGCATCTACACGTTAGTGCATTTGTTGCCCTCAACTTTATTTCATTCTTTACTCCTCCATTATTCTTGTAACCTATGTAACTCCTAAGACCATTATCTTCACTATTTACTACACCATTATCTTCCTATTCATTGCTAGGAAGACTTCTTCTAGTATAAATAGTGGTGGTCTTCATTTGGTTTGTTACACACAATACAACAAGAAATATAGAGTGCATAAGGTTTGTCAAAAAGAGAGTTCTTATTAGTTGAAGGGAGGTGTTTCTTTTTTGTGGAGCTTTGGACTCAACTCTTGTCCAGAGTTGTTGAGTTATACTTTGTGTTAAGGTTGTTGTATCTTGGAAGGGACAAGTCAAGAAGGAGTATTGCTGGACCGGTGAAAACATTTGCTGCAGTGGGCTTGAATCTCCTTAAAGAGAGCGAGATATCCGCGCCTCAGCCTGAAGAGATTTATTTCTTCATTTGTATTTTCAATTGTAATCTTGTATTTTTGTTATCTTGTAAGTTTTCACTAACACACTACTTCTTCAGAATTCGGTGCCTTGTTTATCAAGATCGAATTGAGAATGTACCAGAAAAATTGGTGGTATTCCGGTTAAAGATTACACCAGGTAACCTTCTTATTATTTATCTAAGGAGGAAAATAGTTTCTAAAAGTTAATTATTTTGATATTTATCATGTGTATCTTGGGAAAAAGATCCACAAACCATATGTTTTGGAATGAATTTTACTTGACAAATAGTGTTGTTTTTTAAAATTCTTTAGTTTGCAGAATCAGATATGCACATTTTTGTTTGATAAAATAGTATGTCAAAATGTTATAGTTGGAAGGATATTTGAAAAGAAAGCATTTCTATGTGATAATCTAAGAATATATTTTATTCTATTTAGAGAAAAAAAATACTATTGTAGTTTGGTACTCCGTGTGAAATTTGATTGTGTCTAATTGTTGTAGACTAAAACTTTTGTCGTTTTCTACTCTATAAAAATTGGATTATGCAATTGGTTTGAAGAATATGAAAACTTCACCTAATAAGTCAGTGTTGTACTTTTGATTTTCTACAAACTTCATTGTTAAATAGAAACAAATTGTACAAACAAATTTTTCTTTATTGTTAGTATTCTAAATACTAAGTGGTATGTCTACTGTGATAGAAAAAAAAGTCCAGTGACTTAAATTGTGTGATTTTGTGCCTGCAATAGGTGCCTCTATGGAATGAACTTTGACACTATGTAAAGATTGTCAAAGAGAATTGAAGCACTATAATTCTTTCATAGAATAATATTTCCAAAAGAGGTTTCATGCTGCCAATGACATTTTAATAGTCTGGAAAAATATGTGGAAAAATATTTTCAACTATTTGAAAAATATTTTTGAAATCATATTTAAAATGTGGGGGGGGGGGTTCTTTGCTTATGACAAAGATAAAATTAGACTTAGTGTCTGATTTCATTTGGAGCACAAGATATAAAATTCGATGATGCTTTTGTACTATGTTAGACCCACAAAATTCTTGGAGTATATTTGATATCATGGTCGTTAAGTTTCTCTTTTACTAGTATATGGTGTGACTAGTATGAAATTACCAAATTATATATATACTTGTTCAAAATAATAGTGTTCTTTTATGAAAAAATGTCACTTAAAATGCTGTATTTTTTCATGAAAAGATATGTCTATTAAAATAAAAGTATTTGTATAGACATGAATATTGGTGAATAGTCATTTGTCATGTTTTGTAAAAGAAGCATTTTGGATTATATTTCCTTTATTGGACCCGGTGAAACTATGTTCATGGGTAGTTCTATAACAATCAAATTGAAAGTTATGGAAAGGTCCTTCTGAAAAGGACATTTGACTAGGTGCTGACTCTAAACAATGTTTGTATCACATAAAATTGTAAGAAGTAGGAACAAAATATTTGTGAGAAAAAGCTACCTCACGGAGAGCTTTTCAAACTTAATATTTTATTTTGTTTTTTCTTTCTTGAGTTAAATTGTTTGTGACGTTGAATGCTTGGGACATGTCAATTACAAAATCTTGTAAGGAAAACTAATCAACTTAGAAGTTTTGTCTAACTTTGAGTGCAATAAATAAAAATGTCAAGTTTGTGTTGAATCAAAGAATGCTAACCATTCTTGTAAATCTGTTGAAAGGAATGCTAATCCTTTAGAGTTGATTTACACTGACATTTGTGATATGAAGTCAACACCATCTCATGGTGGGAAAAAGTATCTCACAATTTTTATTGACAATTGCATTAGATACGACTATGTCTACTTGCTGAATGGTAAGGATGTAGCAATAGAAACGTCTAGACAATATAAAAATGAAGTTGAACTCAGTTGGGCAAGAGATAAGAAGTGATAGGGATGGAGAATATAAATTTCATTTTGCAGAAATATGTTTGAAAGTGGATTTATCCATCAAACTGCTGTCCTATTCACCTCAATCTGATGGAAAATCGAACGTTGAAAGAAATGATGGATGCATTACTTATAAATTCAGGTTTACCACAAAACTTGTGTGGAGAAACGATCCTTACTGCAAAAGGGAACAACAAAAAGTTTTGTTTTTTCAGAAAGAAAACAATTTTGTTTGTTCAGGACACAATCTATTCCATATGAGAAATAGAAAGGAAGGAAATCCAACTTGAAATATTTCAAAGTGTAGGTGTGTCTAGCCAAAGTCCAAGTTCCTATTCTTAAAATGATTAAATAGAACCTAAGACCGTGGATTGTAAAATTAGACTTGAGTAGTCTAGTGAACGGTCTAAAAAACCCTGGAAAGAACAAAAGGAGAATGTACTTAATAAAGAGATTCAAAGGCGTAGTAAATGTCAAAGAACATCTACTTTCTTCGGATCTGATTTTGTAACATTTCTTATGTCATATGTGGACTCATGCTTTTTTTTGAAAGATGGTGTCAATAGTTAGATTGATTCAATCTTGAGTAACCATAATGGAAGTTGATTGATGTTCCTCCAGGAAATAAACATTTGGGTTCAAAGTAAATCTTCAGAAGGAAAATGAAAGTCGATAAAATTGTTGACAAATACAAAGCAAGACTTTTTGTCAAAGGCTTTAGACAAAAAGAAGATCTTGATGTTTTCGATACATACTCGCTAGTAACTAGAATTACATTCATTCGAATGTTAATTGAATTAGCTGCAGTATATGACCTCTAAATTCGTCAAATGAATGTGAAAACAGTTTTCTTAAATGGAGAATTGGGGGAAGAAATTTATATGGAACAACTCGAGGATTTTGTGGTTCCTGGTAAAAAAAAGAAAGTGTGCGAACTTGTTAAGTCACTTTATGGACTAAAACAAGCACCCAAACAATGACATAAGAAATTTGACCAAACCATGTTGGCAAATAGATTTAAAAATAATGGAAGTAATAAATGTGTTTATATTAAAATAACAAGGTCATTGTTTGTTTGTATATTGGTGATATGTTGATCATAAGTAGAGACACTACTGACATAAATGCTACTAAACATATGCTAGAAAGCAGCTTTAATATGAAAGATATTGGAGTTGTTAGAACTCCATAATGATTAGCATTGTCACGGTCTCATTACATTGAAAAGGTACTTGACTAGTTCAAATATTTGGATTTTAATATTTTCAAAACTCCAATAAATGTGAGCTTTGCACTTCAAAAGAATAAAGGTGAAAGTGACTCACAATTGGATTGTGCTAGAGCATTGGGAAGTATGATGTATATCAGGAAGTGTACACAATCAATATAGCATATGCTATTAGTAATCTGAGTCAGTTCACGAGTAATCCCAATCAAACTCATTGTATGACAATGGAAAGAGTTTTGGGGTATTTAAAACATACTCAAAACTATGTCTTGCATTATAACAAATATCCAGCAGTATTGAAAGGATATAGTGATGCAAATTGGATCAGATCAAATGAAGTAAAATCCATGAGTGGATATGTATTCTCTTGGTAGAGGAGCAGTCTCTTGGAAATTCTCCAAACATACATGTTTTGCTAGCTCTACAATGATCTATGAGCTTGTCGTGAATAAGTTGAAAGACTCCGAAATTTCTTGATACATATTCTTTTTGTCCCACACCTTTTGGCATCAGTATGCATACACGTTGATACCCAAGATGCAATAGGTAGGGCATGTAGCATGATTTATAACAAAAAGTCTCATCATATAAGACATAGACATGATACCGTTAGAAAACTACTTTCTAGTGAAATTATCACAATTAACTATGTAAAGTCAAAGGATAATGTGTCGGATCCACTTACAAAAAGGCCTAACTAGAGAGAAAGTTGAAAGATCATCTAAGGGAATGAGTTTACGACTTAAGACAAGTCATCATGGTGGTAACTCTACCTAGCAGGTTGGCACGAGATGTTGCCATATGCTTTGTTAGGTTACCGAACGACTGTCAGGACATCAGTTGGAGCTATTCCATACTTGCTAGTATATGGAACAAAAGCAGTTATACCTGCAGAAGTTGAAATACCTTCGTTAAGAATCATCCAAGAAGCTGAATTGGGTGATGCTGAATGGGTTCGCAAGCGGATTGATCAGTTAACATTGATTGATGAAAAGAGAATGGTTGCTGTCTGTCATGGACAACTGTATCGACAAAGGATGATTCGTGCTTTTCACAAGAAAGTAAGAGCCAGGATATTTGAAATCGGCCAGCCGGTCCTTAAACGCATTTTCCCTCATCAGAATGAGTACAAAGGGAAATTTGCACCAAATTGGCAAGCACCTTACATGGTTCGCAAAGTATTATCTGAAGGTGCCTTAGTCCTGTCGGAGATGGATGGCACTGAATGGCCGAAACCAATCAACTCAGATGTTGTCAAGAGATACTATGTGTGAAGCTTCAGTTTGTACTTCAGTTATTTCCTTGTAATCTCTCTATTTGCTTGTAATTGCTTTGTTTAAAATCTATCCCTATGTAATGAATTACGTCTGACCTGAATTATCAAGAATGAGATACGTAGGCGGCCTATGTCGGCCTCGGTCACCCTTTTTATCCCTTTTTAATTTTTCCTTGTGTTTGAACTACGTTCGACCTGAATTCTCAAGAATGAGATACGTAGGCAGCCTATGTCGGCCTCGGTCGGTTTATGTGTAATTTTATTATTTTTGTTAATCCTTGAGGGGAACTACATTTGACTTGATTCCTGCCTCAATGGGATACGTAGGCGCCACAACGGCTCGGTCATATTTCCTGTAAGATTTCTGTTTATCTTTATAATAGAAACTGGGAAAGAATTTTTGAGAGGAACTCAAAAATTCTCAAGAAAGAGATCTCTCCGACAAAATCAAGACTGAAGTTACTTTGAGATTTGCAACTGGGACAAAATTTTTGAGAGGGTCTCAAAAATTCCGTGATTTACTCATCAACGCTTAAAGATAAGCCAAGACAGTTAACTGGGATAGAAATTTTGAGGATGACCCCAAAAATTTCAATAAGGTTCATCTGAAGCCTAGAATAACCCTGGACACTCCCCAGCAACTGATCAGATATATCTCGAGACATCACCTCTAAATGAGGTTCATTAAACTTGACGTGACATGACACTTGGCAGTGATCTTTTCCAAATTTTATATTTTTTGAAAATTTACTTTTCCTAAAAACTTTTCTTTCATGTTTCAATCATTTTTGCATAAAAGGGTTTTGTCTTATCTATCAAGAAGCGGGAGATCGGAGAAATCAACCGGAGATAGCAAGATAAGGAGCAGACAACCGAAGAGATCGACACAGATCAGTTCATTCTTTAAACTAACAATTTTTCTGTGGACGCAGGCTTATAGGTTTACCTCAAAATCAGCATATTCCACCATTCAATAAATATGGAGAAGTCAAAAGGGCAAAGAGATCCCCGAAATTGACAATTTTTCTGTGGATGCAGGAAGTATTTTGTGCTTCTTATACCAGAGAGTTGGGAATACGAGTAGCTTTATTTCATTCAAATTTTCAGCAAGAAGAGGTCCATAATGAACATGCAATCATGTTCGAAGATGGAACAAATGAAAACCTCAAAGAGAGCAAGATTATTATTTTCCAGCAACGAAAGATATCTGGAAGACATTTTACCTGCATTACATTATCAGATATGATAATATTCTTACCCTGAAGGTTATTTATATTGCATTGTCGAATGAGATGATGCCACTACTCTAAGGTTTAATCACATCGTATTGTCGATTGAGACGATACCACTACCCGGAGAGTCATTTATATCGTATTATCGAATGAGATGATACCATTACTCTGAAGGTCATTTTTATTCGTATTGTTGATTGAGACGATACCACTACCCGGAGAGTCATTTACATCGTATTATCGAATGAGATGATACCATTACTCTGAGGGTCATTTTTATTCGTATTGTCGATTGAGACGATACCACTACCCGGAGAGTCATTTATATCGTATTATCGGATGAGATGATACCATTACTCTGAGGGTCATTTTTATTCGTATTGTCGATTGAGACGATACCACTACCCGGAGAGTCATTTATATCGTATTATCGGATGAGATGATACCATTACTCTGAGGGTCATTTTTATTCGTATTGTCAATTAGGACGATACCGCCACCCAGAAGGTACCTAGAAGATCACCTAGGTTGTCTGGTGAAGCATAATCTTCGTTCGGTACTAGGGATGGCATCATCAGAGAAAGAGTCATGCATGGAGAGAAAGAAGGCATGCATCGCGGAGAAGTCATGCATAGCAATAGAAAGAAGTCATGCATCGCGAGAAAAGAGATTCATGCATTGCAAAAGAAGATTCATGCATTGCGAAGGAGATTCATGCATCGCGGGGAAAGGATCATGCATTGCAAAAGAAAAGATTCATGCATTGCAAGAGAAGATTCATGCATTGAGAGAGAGATTCATGCATCGCGGGAAGAAGATTCATGCATTACAAGAGAAAGATTCATGCATCGCGGAAAGAAGATTCATGCATCGCGAGAAAAGAGATTCATGCATTGCAAGAGAAGATTCATGCATTGCGAAAGAGATTCATGCGTTGCAAGAGGAGATTTATACATTGCAAAAGAAGATTCATGCAGCGCGGGAATAGAATTCATGTATCGCATGAAAGAAATTCATACACCGCAAGAGAAAGATTCACGAATAGCAAGAGAAAGAGTCATACATCGCAAAAGAAATGTTTACCCATCACAAGAAAATCAACATCAACTGCATCATGTTTCTTTGCACAGACGACATCAAGAGAACTACCAGCATATTATATCAGCCTATTTTATTACTTTGACATCAAAGGAATAGTACATTGTAGATTATATTGCAAATATGAGACACAAGTTTTATTTGCTTCACGTCAAGCCCGATAGAGTTGACGTCAAATGTTCAAGGAGAACAATTAAGTGTCAACACGGTAAAAGACATTGTATCCCATTTGATTTGCATTTTTATGCTAATGAGTTTTATCTCAGTCTTTGTCGAGAGCATTCGAAATGATGAATCTCCAAAACAAACCACAAGTGCAGACGACATCAAAAAGGATGCAGCACTACGTGGAACTTTTTCTTAGCAGCGAACTGGGACATAGTCCAAAGAGGAGTGTCAAACTCTTAGGACGCGAGCAGAGGAGCGACATCCACCACAATCAAACCACACCCCTATCAGAAGGCATGTGGATTTTTCTTAGGTTTGTCGGTTTCAGTTTCGCTTCTGATAATTTTTGGTCTCTACTGGAAGCGGCTTTCCAATCTGAGTGACAATGCACCAAGAGCTTTGGAAATTATGTCCGTGTAAGTTCTTAATTATGGGTGTGAAGTGCACCACATTCATGGTTAAGAGGTTGCAAGCCTCCTTTTCATACTCGACTTACTTTGTCGCTTTTCTAAAACCAAAGGTGATCTAGCATAATAGATTTCCTTTTCAACCGATAGAGTCGAACTACAAGTAGCCTGATTTCCTCAGTTGAGGGATATGTAGGTGGAATCAATGTTGAAAACTGGACTGTATTCCAATCATTCGCTCTTAAATCTTATTCTCGAGCATTCCGGTCCCTCTATAATTCGATATCAGAATGACTTTTGAATTCTTTCAAAATCGTGCATAAAATCAAGCATATCGAACTACAAGTGGCCTGAATTCTCATATAGCCTGAGATATGTAGGAAACCCACGTCTGGGGTCGGCCATAATTCCTAAAGACCGTACAAAAAACCCTTTTTCAGAAAGATGAATATGTAGTCGATCAAAATTGGATTAGTCAAATTCATTTTCCTCGAATTTCTTATATCAATTCAAGTAAAATGAGGGACAGTTGTTGACACCCAATTTTGACTCTCCCCGATGTAAATTAATCATCGAGCTTCTTAAATTCCAAACGAGTTGAAATAATTGACTTTATAAAATTCAAAATATTTTTCAAGTTAGCTTAAAGTAATTTCGTCATTTTTACAATTTTTTTGAATAATATACTTGTTTTACATAATTATGTATATATTAATTAGTATATTTTATGAATATTTGGAAATAGTCTCAAAAGGATTTTGCTTTAATTAAATATTTGGTTAATCAATTTTGGTTATATAATGGTTTATATTTTAAATTATTTAGTTTATAATTAAATTAATTATTTTATTTCGTTAAGATTAAGAAACTCGCTAGTTAATTTTTATTGATTTGCCTTATTTAGTTTTAGCTGAATTACCGACTAAATTCACTTCTATAAATGTTAATTCGATTTGGCTACGTTTGAAATTTGTACTTAATTGCAAGACCAAGAAGTCGGCCCTTTTATTTTTCAAATTCATGCAGCCCACTTCCATAAATCAACAGCAACATACCAACAATGCAGGCAATTTCCAGTAGCTTATCAAAATGCCCAGCCCAACACGCCTCTTTTCCTCTCATCCCAACATACAATATTCCCTCGGCCCAATTTCCCCCTTTAACCCGGCCCACTACAATTCTAAAACATCCAGCACAATCCAATATTCTCAATTTTTTTCCTTCAACACGTCAATTCCAGCAAACAACATCAGAACGCAACACAGCAGCACCATAGCGTCTTCCTCGCTGCAACAACAGCGAAAAGGCACCTGCCAGCAGCTATGAGTCTGTCCTTGTGGCCTCAGGATGGAGCCATGTCGCGCCCAAGGACGAGTAAGTCGATCCCAGCCATCGATCTCACCATTTCCACTTTTGGAATGGGGTTGAAGACCTCACAAAAGTATGTTTGCCTCTAATGGTGATTTTTTTTTTAAAGTTTGAATTGAGATGGGCCTTACGCCTATCCGAATTTGATCATTTTCCCCCCATTTCCGAACCCTAGTTCCCCATCTATATAAAGCCTCTTCTACTTATTTGTTAGGGGAGGTGAAAAAAGAAGGAGATTTTTTAGGCGGAAATTTTTGAGTTAGAGAAAATATTGGAAGAAGTTGGTGAAATCGGGAAAGTTTAAAATAGGCCAACAATATTATCAGTCATATACAACTATATACATACTTAGAAAATAGGCTCCGTGGTAAAGGGGGGAGTTAATTTTTTGGCTTAGTTCCTTTTTCTCGCTTGTCTTTGCTCTGCTTGTCGGAGTTCTCGGAGTAATATTTCGGTGGTGAAGTCGTCCCCTGCTCGTTCTTGTTCAGCTCGCTGCCCCGAAATAGGTAAAATTCCTTTTTCAAATGTCTCGATTCTTTCCTTTTGATTTATTGCTGATGCTGAATGACGGACTGTTGGTTTCAAATTAATTGCGTCTTAATTGTTCGAAGTATAAGATGTGTTATCTGGTTTGTTGTTGCTTTGGTTCATGGCTGTTAGATAAAATCTTGGAGTTACTTCGTCGCAAGCACCAGCTCCTTCATTATTTGTTATTGTTGGTCACT